AGCTGGACTACCTGTGCTGCTTTAATGGAGTCCAGCCTCTCCAGGGCTCCTGATGCCACTTTGATCCAAAGCAGCTGAAGTGGAGTCGGAGTAGTTTTTGCTTCCTAACTGGACAGAGAGATGTCCTTGATGCTTAACTGCTCTGACTGATTGTTCCCTTAATCCCTTAATTGTTTCCTGTTGAAACTTTACAGTTCATCTGTTACTTTTTCTTCCAAAGTCCTGAACACACTCTCATCATGCTGAAAAGGCAGACGTTGCACTGTGTTTAGGCTGAGAAACATTGTGCCAAGGCTTTTTCAAATGATGACAAAAACCTTTCTCAGTTTCTCTCCACGTTTTCAAACAGACAACAGCGTTCAGCCCCAACTCGACGTGGCACAGCTTCAAACTGTGGATCATCAGCTCTCTGTCAGACTGGAAGGAATCCTGCCCGGAGACTCGTCCGACACAAGCATCCATTATGTGAAACTCAAGCTAAGCTGCAGAACAATCTTAATGTCGTTCATCCTGCGGAAATTTCACCCTGCTTGTCTTTGGCAGAGAGGTGAGATTTAAAGGGCCAGTTCACCCAAATCTGATTCTCATTAAGACGTCTTAACGGTTTCAGTCCTCTCAGAAAAGAAAGTTGTTATAGTAAGTAAACCAGAGGTGAGTGAACTGGAACTAGAATAGAACTAAATATTAAACCAGTTCTTCTGTTAACAGCTTCTTAAGTTAGTCCAGAGCCAGAACAGTGTTGTCGTCCACCGTCTGCTACATAAAACTATAAAAGAAATATGCACCGAGGCTCATGCTGTCGTGTTTAAGAGTTTTGGTTATCCTTCATTTGCTGTTTTTTATTGTGAAAGTATCTTTTCACCTCATTAAATGTCTTGTCTTTAACTTTGTTCTTTGATGAGTTTAATGTTTGTTGTTTTTCTTTGCTCTCTTTCAGATTTTCCCTTTTTTATTAACTTGTCTCCATTTTAAGAAACATCTTTAGTGCTTTTATAAATGCAGCACTTCATGTTTCCTTTCTCTCTTCAACACGTGCCTTTTTATCTTCTGTTTGACTTTGACAAGTTTTAAAGGACATTTGATTTGCATTTGATATGATGACAAAGAAAACAAAAGGAAGAGAGGGAGAGAGCAAAGTGCCCAACGGACACTGAATATAAACTGAGTGTAAAAAGTAGATGGACATGAAAAGGACTTAGTAGAATTAAAAAGAAAGAGACATTAGCTCAGGTGAATGCTGAGTTTGATGCTCTCAGCAGCGTCAGAACTGACTTAGTGACAGTTTGACAGGTTTGGTTCATTTACGAGTACAAAGTGTTTGACGTTTCACAAAGTGATGACTAAACAAACACCAATGACGCATCTGAAACTGAAACAGGCCTGTAGGAATCTATAAATACTGTAAGATGCAGTATATCTTTATTTATCTTTAGAATATGACCCAAATTTAAATGATTTACTCTTGAGTTTCATGTATTTGCTCTTCTGTGCAACAGATTATGATTTTACGGTTTTCAGCTGCTGTCCTGAGTCAGAGCCTAAACGTTGCATCTCATCACCCTCCAGGAGATGAACTGAAGCGTCATCTGTCTGGTTCGTGTTTCCTCACAGAGAGGGTCTCGTGCACCTTCTTGAGCCAGTCTGAAACGTCTGGAAGGATTTTTATAAACATCCACAACCATGTTTATTATAGCACACTCAAAATCTGTGTTCAATTTAGGTTTTTACACCTCAGTGAGATTTTTCAGTCAGTTCTCAGAGATAATGTCACTGTTAATCATAAGGTGATTTTTTGCTTGAGTGTCTTTTTAAACCAAATGTGACAAAATAACGGCCCAGTTTCAGAGACAGTTTACAAAGTCTGTTAGAACCTGAGCGGTCCGAGTCATTTGGGACTTGGTTGCGCTTCTTTCAGTCACTGATTAGGTTTATTAAAGATCACGGTTTGGGTTAAAACACAACCCTCAGCAACATAACAGTGACACGGCGCACACCGGCCTCTCACTCAGTAAAGCTGTAGGTCAGTCAGTCACACTGATTTTGACACATGTGGGCTAACTGCATTTACTAGAGTGACCATATTTTGATTTCCAAAACAGAGGACACTTGGCCCAGTTATGAAGAATTTTAATAATACTGTTTGTTTAAAGAAAAATTTAACATATTTAAAAGATGCCTTCTCTGTGCGGTTAATGAATGGTGAAATAAAAAATGTCATAAAGGCTTTTACAAGTCAACAAGTGCAAAAAAATAAATAAATAAATTTACAAAAATTGGCGTTTCTAACCTCAGTTAACTTTGTTTGCACGCCACCATTCGTCCAGTCAAATTGGGAATATTTTCTCTGTTCCATGGTTACTTAAGTCTGAGAAATGTCACCGTACTGGATTTCATAGCTTCAAGAGAGACAATAGCTTCAGTCTTGGTGCGGCACTGCTGTACTTTTTTAGCTGTGTTAAAGTCTGGAAATGTTTTTTTGTTTGGTTTTTTTAGCAACACACTAGTGCAATCCATGGATGTGTAGCTATTGTGATGCTTCATAGTATGAAATGTCAGTGCACCTTCTGCTCCAGATACAAGCACCCTCGTTTTCCCAGGTGTAACAAAGAACTCAGTCAACTTACTAGATGAATTTTTGCCTCGCGCAGCCTTTTTAAGTTTTTCTGTGTCCATGTGAGCAACAAGATCTCTGGCACCTTTGTTAGACACACAAATGTCTGTGCCAGCTCTGCACACAGTGCACTCCACCTCCCATTTATTCCGACTGGGATGGTACAAGAGAAATTTCTTGATGCACTTGCGCTTTGGCATCTTTTCAGCGCGCTGCTCCGCGCTCTGTCCCGTCTGTGGGTGGGGAACAACCACTTACACCACATTTCGGGGATGATGTTGCACATACGAGTCCTCTGTAGGCCTGTAGGAAAACCCGGACATTTTCATCCATCTCAAAGAAAAGGACGGTTGGTCACTCTAGCGTTTACCTCTTTCCAGTCTTTATGCTAACCCAAACACAGCTTAACTTTTCTTATTCTACCTGCAGAAAACTACAAAAATGCTCCCACTGAGGCTTCAAATTACAAAGTTGACCAACTTTTTTTTTTTTATCAAATGTTATCTTTATACATTTTACTTCGAGAACAAAATAACAATTCAGACTTTCATAATCTTTTTATTCGTTTCATTTCATACACGTGCATGCTATTTCTCTTCAGTCCAGCTCAGGTAAGGCTCAATTGATTCGGTTCTTGAGCAGACCTTCGTGTTTAATCTCGCCTTATGTAATTTTATTGTTTTGGGTGTTTTATCTTTAATAGCTACATAAAAACTTCATTATCAGAAAGAACAAATTTCCACCCTGAAAGCTGCCCACATGCACGAATAATAGCAAACTACCGTCCATCACGTAGGTTTGTCATGGAAACCCAAAGCTAATAATTAAAACCAGTTTACAACACGATCCCTCCAACTCCTGATTTCTTTAAATTTCCCAAAATCTGATCAAATCCCAGCCCTCCTGGACTTTAGTCCTCCTGTTTATGCTCGATGAGTTCAAAGGTCAAACTTGAAGCGTACAGATCACTCTTGTGTTGCCTTGTTTTAAATAAAAGCCAGATTAAATATGAATGCAGTCATCGTTTCCATATGAACACGTCATGCATGAGGCAGGAAGTGAATCTGAACAGCTTTGATCTCCTGCCTTCATCAGCTCTTCATCACAGCTGATG